TTCTTGCTGCATCAGTTATCATGTTTTAGTCACGTGAGACTTATCAGTCTATATTACTGATAGTTCTATACAACTGTTGCTTTGTACAAAAATTGCTGATTTTTTAGGCATTGTGAAGCTATTTGCTGTCTGGATATTGATGAAATCATATTATGGCATCAAGAAGCTCAGTGTAAACAGACCCACTAAATGCTCACCTTGGTTTTTGTCCGAGCCCTGTGCAAGGCTGTGCTGTTACCAGCACTGGCACTGCCCAGGGTAAGCACAGGGAACATTTGTCTGCATTGATGACACCACCACAAAACCTTTTACATGACTCTGTAATTCTCAAGTGGCTTGTAAACAAGTGCAGTTTAAACATGAATATGCAGTTTAAGCTTATTCTGGCAAGATACAAATGAACTTGAGAAGTGTAATATGCTTTTATGGTAGATGATATAGCAGCACCGTAATTTAAACTTTACTAATGCTGCTAGAAATAAAGCCTACACTTTAAAATTGGGTTTTCTTAACATAAGTACTGCATTTAAATGCAGTGTCTGTTGTTTTCAAAAAAATGTTTGAAATAAAACTGTACTATAGTCTGTGCATGAGGACAAAACAATTGAAAAACAAATTAAAGCTATTACCATGCTGCTAATGTAGATGGAGGTAAGGAAACGCAACTAAAAAAAAAAAAAAAATTATCAAAAAACCCCAGAAAATCGAAGTTTCTCATCATCCATTCTATATGTTCTTCTCATCCTTAGCAGGATTCCTGTTTGATTATTCTTGAAATTAGTTCTGATATGTTTCCTATTTAATGTATCAGATTTATTTATAGTTAAATGGTAGCACCAGATGGAAATGCTAGGACCAAATGAAAGAAGTACAGGAGACATTTTAAACTGGGTGTTAATTACATGCTGAAAAAGTTCTAGCTTTCCAAGAAAAAAAAATTCCAACTTCCAAAACCTTGCTATTATTTTCATTAAAAAATCAAAGGTAAATAAAATAAAAGTCTTAAAATTTTCAGAGTACTGCTTTTGAATAATGTTATCCACAATTTTAAGACAGACAGTCCATTAAATAGAAAAAAGATTTGATTTACATAAAGCAAGAGAGTACAAAAGCACAGCTTTTGTAATTTTGGTAATATTGCAGTTCTACAAACATATTGCATAGTATGTATAAGAAAATAGTTCCCATCTTTTTATATATACTTCTATACACAAGAAAACCATTAACATGAAGGTTACAAAACAAAAATGGTTAGCAGACCTTTACTGAGTTGTGTTTAGAACAATACAGCACAACACAAATTTTGATCCAACTTTCATGTGCATTACAGTGAATCAGCTGATAACAAGTCCATAGTCCAAAGTTTGTGGGTTTTTAATTTGTTTTTTATTTAGCACTTATTTAGAATCTAAAAACAAAGCAAAACAAACAAATAAAACAAAACGCCCCTAAAAGGTACATTATGTTAGCAACCAAATATTTCAAACATCCTCCATTAAATCCTTCTAGACATTTATGGCTCTGTCTTCCAGACTTAATAACCCTCTGCATCTAAAATGCTTGAAAGTGAATTATTTTATCCAGTCAAGCCAATTTTGCAAGCAAATCAGTATAACTTCATTTCAAAGAAGCAAAGTCTTGGTATGTTTTCTTAGGAACACCAAAAGACCCCCCCATATGCATGAATAGTAATGTAATTGCAAAACACTGACAAAAAATTTAAACCCTGGAAAAAAGTGAAAATCTACAGCTCAAAATGCTGCACAAATCTAAACTATGTTACATTTCATGTTGTAATTACAACTTTTCATCTCTTCATTCCAACAGAATTAGTAGAAACAGCAGTGTCATAATGTTGGATATAATAGAAGTGTCTGTCTTTGGTCTTAACACTTAACCAATGAATGAACTGCAATACAAACCATACAGCTGACAGTGCTCAGAGAGGTTGGCTGATGCTTTTACTTTTCTCTTTTTTTTTTTTTTTAACAAGAAAGAGACAGCATCCTATAATATGACACAAATGGTTTTTTAACAGGAGATAAATCCATTGTATATATTAAATACATGTAGCCAATAAGTTCTTTGCAGATATTTTGTTGCTGTCATCAGGATGGCATCTTAATTTTTTACTATGGTTAATGCATTGAAATCGTGTGGGCTAGAAATACTTTTTAAAATACAAACTTTTTTCCTTCCTTTCTTACAGTTTTCAATGGATTTAAAGAAAGACATCAATATTATGAAATTTACCAGAATATTAAGACTTTATGAGAACTTGGTATTCCATCTCATTGGTTGTTGAAGCTCTTAAATATTCTCTAGTTCATATTGACAGGACTCCAATAAAGAATATCCTGACAGTGCAGAGCCACGTGGACTTACTGGGTTGGTTTTTTTGGAGTCCTGTGTACTACCCACATATCTCTTCTGAGTTCTCTTCACACAAAGTGGCAAATTATTTCAGTCTTGTTGTTAAAATTAATCTAGTAACAAAAGGGTTTTCTTCCTACCTGCCCATTTCCAACCAAATTGGTGTAAAATTTATTAAGGTTGGGTCCTTCCATCCAGTAAACAAATAGAAGGTAAATATCTTTGAAGGTGAAGAACAAACAAATAGGATTTTTTCAGTGGAAAATTCATGACAAAGTATCTGCAAGTCATCCTACAGGTTTATTTGAGGAGAAAAAAACCCCTTAGCTTACCTGTATACAATTTGTAGGAAGCCCCACTTTATGTCACCTATAGATTAGTCCCTGTATTTGTTCATCTTTTAAGCAACAGGTGTATGTAGGTGTGCACAGATAATGAATACACATAGATGTGTCCTCATACATATCTTTTTGCTTTTCCTCCTGAAATTCATGACTGTCCCTCCACCATTCTATTACTTGGGTGCATAAGAAAGACATCCATATCCCTACAGTTATAAGAGTGTATTTTATGGCTACACTTTTTCATGTTTTATTGTCACCATCTTTGTCATCTGTAACTCTTTTTGGCCCTCTTACTATCTGAAAAATCCTCATGTTCTAATATATTTCCTTGCAATATTTTCTAGTATAATTTCCTCCAAAGATGAAAACTCTCAAATAGACAACAACTCAGCTGTTAACAGCCTTCTTTTGAAGACATAGAATAATCAATTCAAAATCTTCATCTAACTGTTAAAACCACCAAATACAGACTTCTTGCTATGAGGTAAAATTCACACCTCTGAAGAGGGCCAATGCTAAGGCAAGCACCAGTCAAGCCATTGACACGTCTTGTGCTGGTCTTCTGCATAGGAGTGAATTTCACCTGAAGTGAAAACAAAGTCAATCTTATTAGGTGGTAATAAGATGCCAAGGCATTCACCATACTGGTTTGCTCATTTTCTTTTTTTTTTCTCTAAAAATATATTTTTTTGAAAAGTGTGTAGAAATACCCGCCTTGCACCATCTCCCCTGGCTTTAGAATTGCTTTGCAAAAGCTCTAATTTTATTGGTGATCTTAGATTCAGAAGCCTCTAAAAATAAAAGCTAGGTGATGTAATTTAAATAATAGAATTAAAAAGCACACTTACCTCACACAATCAAGCCATCTTCCACAATAGGAAACATTTTTATATTGTTTTACTTTCCTGGGTTCTGCAAGTTTCAAGATACTCTTGTTAATCAATGGTGTAACAAATTTACCAGCAGCATACCAAAGCATTTTTTATAAGATTTCAATTAACAATCAAGCCAAGTACGTATGAACATTGATACAAGAAAGAAATCCCACATGAAACTTGTCAAAAAAGAAAGTCAGTAGTGAGATCTGAGTGCAAATGTGGCTGCATAATTTAAACAGAGACCTGGTAAAGGCAATGTAGTATCAATGTACTTTTTAATACTGAATGTTGTTTAATATGTGGTTATATATATAGTACTATTACTTTGAAACCTCCACAACAGATGGTAAACAAAAGAGAATAATAAATGTGAATGTCATACAAGTTGTTAGTGCACTGCTTCTCAGCACCACACGTTACATGACTACCAATGTTTGTACTGTGTTCAAGTGGCAGCAGATAGACACAGTCAGAAAATGGCCAAGATGTACCTTTGAAGATTTCTCTCTTGGTTTTGTATTTGCCAATTATAAGAACCTTGTGAAGAGCAATACACTGATCAATAAACATATCATCAGAATTTCCTTCTTTATCCTGTTCTTCTTTTCCAGAAACTGTATGTTCTACTTAAAGCAATCACTTCACATGCAATGGCCATGAAAATATTATATAAGGTCATTCAGATCTGACAAACAAGAGCATTTCTTTTTAACTTTTAAAGGAATATTGCTGAGCATCTCCAAAATTTACCTAGTGTACAAAACCCTAGACTTAGTAGACAAATAGTAACAACACATTTTTAAAGAAACCAAACTCAGGGAGGAATTCTGTCTCTTTTTGTATTAAAAACCATTTACTGAATTTGTTTAGTAAAGCAAGCATCACACAATGCTTTAAAATTTTAAAATTCAGGGATAAAAGTTTACTTCCAAAAAGATGAATGGAAAATTGTGCTTTCAGACAGTAAGTTATTTATCATACAGGGGGAACCAATTCATCTCACCATCAGATTCTGGGTAAATTAATGTACTCTCTCTCTCTGTCTCTCTCAATATATATTTATGTGCAGTTCATATCCAGGTCCTGCAAAAATCTAAAACTATGTGCTTCACTTCAAGTAGCAAAGGCACCTGTGTTATTGTCCCTTTTGGAAAATAAGGTGATCTTATGTTCTAGGTTTCCTGATGAAGAATACATTGTTTTGTGGATCTCTCGCCCATCTCTGTGCTGAGTGGCAGCACAAACCACAGGAGAAGGCAGCGCTGAACTCCTGCTTACAGTGGAAGAAGTTGCTCTGCAGGCCGCTTGGAGCGTCGGGCTTGTCACAAGGGAAACCGAACTGAACTGTGAAGCAGAGGGATAGTAACCAAAGGCTATTCTGGTGTGAGGATAAGACGGAGTCCTTCTAGCTCCACAAGCAGATGTTGCTACTGGATTGACATGTGGAGCCTGCTCCTGCTGGGGACAGGTAGAGTTTACCATTGGGACAGGCGCAGAGCTCATAGATAGTCTGGCGAGGAGCTGAAGAGCTGGGTGAGGAGGAGGAGGAGGAGAAGGAGGAGGAGGATGAAAAGGACCCCACTGGTAGATTTCCCAGGCGGATTGTATCTGCGTTTAAAAATATCTAAAAAGAGGGAGAAAAAAAAGAATACATAAATTTCTATCAGCAGTGAGATATAATTTAAAGAAGTGCATTGAGGCATCTGTGAGTTTCTAGAAATATATTTTAAATTTTAGAAATATTTTATTAGAAGTATTATAAAGATATATTAGAAATTACTCTTTTTAGAAGAGTAGGCATTTATTGTTTTCATCTCCGTGTAGTAATTTCTGCATTAATAGTCATTATGACAATATATGCAATTACTTTGTCGACATGTTTATTCAGGTACAAATATTTTTATTAAAAAACATTTAGACAAGATTCTTGAGTAGGTTGAATTTTCACTTGAACATTTTATAATTAACATTTATTCATTCATGGCAGCAGCACATACTTGCTCTGGCAGAATTTGTATTTTAATAAGTGTGAAGTGATATTAAAGCACATTCCCCAGTGTGTTCCTGTAAGCAGTTGAAAATATGTGCTGAACTGTGCTAAATTGTAGGGGCTTAACAATAGTTACTTCCAGAGAATAATTAAATGAGGTTACAAAGACATATTCACAAAATGAAGAGCTTTTCTGACCTAAATTAAGAGGAGGAAAGATTTCAGGTTAGTCTTATTAAGAATGCCATCAAGATATTCCCATTTGGTTTTGAACATTGTGTATGATTAAAAATATTGTGGGTTTTTTCAATATGTCTTGGAAATAACATGAGTCAGTATGAAACTGTAGATACCAGTAACATTAATGAATCTCTGTTGAGTTCTCCAAAACTTATACTTACATTTGCAGAAAACTGCATGTCTTCTACTGATTCAAACAGATGAGTGTCCAGCTGCTCAGAATTTTTTTTAATTTAAATTTTATTTTATTTTATTTTATTTTATTTTATGGAAAGAGTAAATAAGAGCTAAAATAAAACCAGTCATTATCTCAGGAGCAGACTAAGAACTTCTAGAAGAAAGGTAACAAATCAAAATGACATTAAGCTCTGGAGGTGACACTTGAAGCTTAGGAAAACGTGAGTTCCTTAAACACTTGCTAATGTTTTTTATATGTTATCTAAAATCAATGAAGTCAACTTGACGTCATTGTACCACAATGTTCACAGTACATGTAAAGAACCAAAAGAAATATGGAAAATATTGCTTTTTTTATTCTGTAGGAGACAAGCATTATTTTATGATAAAATAAGTGGTATATGGCAGCAAAGCAGTGCAGAAACACTGCTGAGCTCCTGCCATAGAGAAGTCAGGAATAGCAGGCTGGGAAAAAAATAAAGTGTCTAGATAAAATTCCATACAGGGATTGATGCATATTTATGTTTCCATCCACAGCAGAAGCACTGTAAATGAGTGGAATTGTTGAAGGTAATATAGTTTGAAAGTAGCCCCAAACACTAAAACTCTCCATCACTGTAAGTTCTCTAGCTCCCACAGTAATCATACTGTCGTGGAAGGAAATATTCACCAAAAGGGACAGAAAGGGAGAATCTCAGAGGCAAAGGTGACATCTGCATGTCACAATGCCTTCTTTAATTCACATTGTGACTGACAGAGGAAGTGATCACAAAACTAAAATGTAGCGAACCTGTAACTTACATAACAAAAGAATGATGTATTTAGACACACAATGTTGCTTGGAAATTCCTGTATTACAGACCTGAGATAATTAGTAGTCACAACCCATGAAGAAATAGTTTTTATGTAAGAAATGTGGATGGTGTTGGCAACACTTTAATAATGTTTTGCTAGAATTACAACTGAAAAAAAGATTACACATGTTAAAACCTTCATCTCAGCTAAGAGTAAATGTGAAAGTAACTATGGCAAATATAATATGAAAAAAAATAATGGATGGGAAAAAAAGAGTTTAATAACAAACTAGAAACTAGTAACTGGTAAAATGTGGGAAGGAAACAAAGGACGCAATAATGAATGGAGTGACAAGTAATTAAAAGTACTCTTTCACTTCTCATATCAAGCAAAACCAAATGGTAACAGGTCTATTATTAAAGTAGTAATAGCAGAGTTATCAATAGCATTGCATAAAAATCCAGTAGCATTTAACAATGCAAGGTCTGTGTAAGTATATCTTTTGTACTAAATAATGCTCAGCATAGTTCTGCACTTGGAGAAAGATCAAAAATTGATGTCAGAACATGTCTGTGATAAAATACTTTCAATTTCAACAGTAGTTCAACAGGATATTAAACTGGAGCCAGTAATGGCACATACGTTTAATCAGCAGTTCTTGATAACTTTTAACAAATACAGCTAAAAAAAATCTGAGTGGCCTTTTGGATTTCTAATACTGACTTTCAGTAAGCCTTGTGCCATGGTTTAACCCCAGCCAGCAGCCATGTGCCACACAGCCATTCACTCATTCACTCCCCCACCAGAAAGATCAGGAAGAGGTTGGAAGGGTAGAAGTTGGAAAACTCATGGGTTGAGATAAAGACAGTTTAACAGTGAAAGCTGTGCACACAAGCAAAGCAAAATAAGGAATGAATTCACTGTTTCCCATGGGCAGGCAGGTGTTCAGCCATCTTCAGGAGAGAAGGGCCCCATCAGGTATAATGGTGACTTGGGAACACAAACATCAGCACTCCAATGGCCCTTCCCCTTATTCCTTCTTCCCACAGGAGCTTTATATAGAGAGCCTGATGTCTCTATATATGGAACATGGAATGTCCCTTTAGTCAGTTGCAGTCACCTGCCCTGACTGTGTCACCTCCCAGCTTCCCATGCACCCCCCGTCTCCTTCCCAGCATGGCAGGATGAAAATCAGAAAAGTCCTTGGGTCTGTGTAAGCCCTGCTCACCAATAACAAAAACACCTCTACATTATGAACCTTGTGTTCAGCAGAAATCCAAAACACAGCCCCATACCAGCCACTGCGAAGAAAATAAACACTGTCCCACAACACAAAACCAGCACACAAAGCACAGCCTCATACCAGCTACTGTGAAGAAACACTGTCCCAGCCAAAACCAAAACACCTTGATATACTTGGAATACCAAAGAAGAAAAGAAAAATACTATTTCTATGGAAGCTGGAGACATTAGAATATCATATATGCAATAATAAAAAGCACTCCAATATAGAAGACAAGCGTGTAAGGCAACCCATCAAAATACAGGATGAGGTCTTCATACTTTTGGAAGATTGTGTGACTGACCATTTTAACAGCTTAGCTGCAGTCATGATGGGAAAGGTTCATGAGAAATCTGTAATACAAAATTAAAGGGTTTCTAAAAGACATGTCTTGATTCAAACAAAAATTAACTCAAAAAATCCGAGATCCTATGTGTCACAGATCTGGCTGGAGTTAAATCTCTTGAAATTTATTCTATTATTTGCTATGAGCTCAATAATTTTTCTTTTTGTTTACATCAGGACAGCCACACTTCTACAATCTATCATTGCAGGTGTTCTGTAGTGTACTGCTCTAAGACTTTAATCTAGAGCACTTTACTCTGGTGTGCATTACAAAGTACCTCAGTTATCTTACTCATTAAATGAAATTATCTTTAATAAGCATAGCTGTGCAGGCTTTTCCACTGGTATTTACAAATTTCAATCTGTGATGTACAACAGTCCAGGTTTATCTGGTATCATAATCCAGCATGCTAGCTGTCCAGGCCTGTCCCAGCATGCATCCCAGAGCATCTGGTGAGCAATGTGGGTACTAGGATGTGGTGTCTGAAAAAATTGAACTGGCTTCTTGAGAGGGTTATATCTGCTGCAGTGAATCCAATTTAATCCCATCCCTAGAGCTACACCCTGGTGAAGCCTGTGTTGAAGAGGATTAATAAAGATGGTTTAAAGCTAGTATTAAAATCTACTTTGTACATATGCTGTCAGGGTTATAAATGAAAGACAAAATTTAGAGATGCAACATTGCTATCTATTAGTTAAGCAGGAATCCAAATATACTGCCAGAGTAACCCAACACATTAGGAATTTCAGCATTCATATTTGAGGATCTATGTTTTCTGTCCTCTGATCTGCTAAACCGGAAATTCATGGCTGAAAAGTCCTCCAACACCAGCAAAACTTAAACTACTTACTGTTTTATGCCTGATGTTATCAGGTGTTTAAAGAGAAGGGAAGAAGTGGCAAGAGAAAAAATTAAACAGTATGATGTTTCTAGGGAACACTGCTGCTAGATGACAGTAGTTAATGTGTACATGGCCTTTCTCTAATCTGTTTTGCTGTGAGAGGTATGAGATAAGCCACTTAATACCTCACAAGGCAATGTAGGCCAGTCATAGTCTTTCTGAGAGTCTCACTCCTCAGCAGATAAATAGGCACAAATAAAACCAAAGCCTTCATTCATTCTTGAAACATTGTAGGAGACTGACGGACAGATTGCAAGATGGAAAAGGCAGCTGCTTCTCAGAGAAATGTTATTTCATGGAGAGCAGAATGCTGAGCAGCATCATGCTCTCTAAATACTTAACCTTTAGAAATCCCAGATCATTGCTTTGTCATGTGCATCTTAGTACAGAGAAAAATATATTAGTGCTAAATTGATTAAAATGAGATCTGATTTCTGACTAATTAACCAAACTGAATCAGCCTTGTGTATGTGATAAGAATGGAAAAATGGTATACACTTTTTATATGCAGTTTTTGCTAATGAACATCTGCCTTTCTCCTGCTCATCAGACTGTATTGTTAATCTGAACATTGAGAGGGAAAGGGAGAGGAGGGCAAGCCAGAAAATATAGATTATTGATGAAACAAAGAACTAAATTGAAGGAGTAAACTTTCAGTGGGAAATATGTAGGCATGAGGTAAAAACATCAAATACTTGTACAAGCCTTCAATACAGAGATATGAACCTGTCTTGTATAAAATTCTCTAATGGGTCTTAGTCAAGACAGCAAATGACAGTTTAAGTTGACACAGCCAAATTAAAAATTTAGGATTTATAGACAATGAAGAATTTTCTGTATCCATGAACTCTTTGACTAAACAGGCAACTCTATAGGGCTGCAAAGGCATATTT